CGGATGTCCCGAGGGGGCCACTGGGAGAGAACCCGAGCAACGACGTGTGACCACCGAGTACACCACGATAAGCACTGGGGGATCGAAGCCTCACGACGCGCGGGTGTCATGCTTGAATACAGTCCGCCGTACAGTACAATACAACTCGCCCGCGTTGGGCTTTGACGGAAACAGAATCGAGTTAACCCGATATAGTCCACACTCGACATGCGAGGCATATGGTCCGTTCGCCGAAGGGGTGAGCTTTTTGGCACGGAGAGCATGGACCAGCCCGCCACGCTCGGCAGTTTGACTTCCGCGACGAGAGGCGGTTGGAGGCACGCGGCAGGGAAGAGAAGAGGGGGAGATGGCTTATAAAGTATGGCATTTCACGCCTTGGCCATGGAGTACGGGCTGGAGGGCTGGTCGTGCCGCGAGTTCAAGCACACATCCTTGATAATATCCCATACTCAAATTCAAATAAATCATTCTTTTTTTGATATTCAGCCTTCTCGCGCTGGAAAGAAGAGAAGAAACATGCCCGGCGTAGTCGTCAATGGGGTCCCTCCCGACATGAAGGCGCCGCACGTCGTCGGCCCGACGACCAAGACGGCCACGCGCCCTACGAACCCCCTTCCACAGTACCTCAACGACGAGGCCAAGCAGACGCAGCGAGAGCCCTTTGACCCGCAGCGGCACCTTAACTTCCAGCCGCCGGCCCGGGTCATCACCATGCGAGAGATTGGCCTCGAGGGCCACGGCATCTCGCCCAACGCCGTGTCCGAGCCGTTTCCGCTCTTTACGCAGGAGGCGGTGCAGCAGATGCGCGCGGAAATCTTCAGCGACGAGGTGCTGCGGGACTGCCAGTTCGCGTCGACTTTCAACAAGAACATGATACGGGGCATGGGCCCAGCGTGAGTCTGCTCGCCCCCCTATCTTCTCGCCCGCACCCCTTTTCATATATTTACTCTACGAGAGTCTAACGATTGATATTTGTGTTGAAGACGCGCGCCGTTTGTCTACTCGGCGTGGAACTCGCCCGAGCTCGTCTCCAAGATTTCAGAAGTCGCGGGCGTGGACCTGGTGCCGTCCATCGACTACGAAATCGCCACCATCAACATCTCGGCGGACGACAAGCCCATGCCCGTGACGCAGAGCTGCGTCAAGAAGGACGGCGACGGCGGCAGTGGCAAGGACCCGCTGGGCGACGGGCTGTCGGCCGTGGCGTGGCACTACGACAGCTTCCCGTTTGTGTGCGTGGTGATGCTCTCGGACTGCACCGACATGGTGGGCGGGGAGACGGCGTTGAGGACGGCGTCGGGCGAGGTTCTCAAGGTCCGCGGGCCGGCCATGGTGAGCGCCATCATTCATTATCATCTCGCTCCGGTTCTTCCCCTCCCTCTTATCGTAGTGCTCTCTCCCACACACACATATCTATGGCAACCAATGGTCTTGTACACACATCTACACACGACAGCTAACGCATCCGTCTCTACAGGGAACCGCAGTGGTGCTCCAGGGCCGGTACATCGAGCACCAGGCGCTCAAAGCCCTCGGCGGGCGCGAGCGCATCGCCATGGTGACGTGCTTCCGGCCGCGCAGCCCGCACGCGCGCGACGAGACGGTGCTGACGGGCGTGCGGGCCATCAGCCACCGCTCGGACCTGTACGCGCAGTACGCCGAGTACCGGCTCGAGGTGCTCGAGGAGCGCGTGCGGGCGCGGCTCAAGGCCGAGCGGCTGCGCGAGCGCGCGAGGACGCCGTTTGACGTGCCGGGCACGAGGAGCTGGCTGCTCGAGCAGATGGGGTACCTGGAGGCGATGCTGGCGGAGATTACGGAGGACTGAGCTGGGCGGAGCGGAGGTGCATCTAGTGAGGGTGGTAATGACGATAATGATGATGATGATGTTGTGATGCCATGATGGATGTGTTGTCAAGAATAGTTGAAGTGTTGAAGAGGAGGTGAATGCAACGCGGTTCACCTGGTGCACCGGTTGTCAACAGCAGTGTTGCGCCGAAGCATCAAATCGGCCTCGTGCAGTCTGTTTGCTCAGGATGCCGCCCCTGATCGAGACACCTGCAGCCATGGTCGGCGTATCAAGGCCAGCAGGGAGGTAGGTAGACACACCGGCAGCAGACAATCCGCCAGACCGAACGACACACATGTCGGCGTAGAACCCGCCAATGTAGCTTTACAGTACAGCACTGTACGCATAAGGTTGCAATACGAGGTCGACAATCGTTCGATGGCTACGTGGGCTCCGGGGCTGAAGTTCCGTTCAGAGGGCGTCATCGTGTGCATCGCGCCCCTCCCGCATGGGCGTGACAAGAACGCGCTTCAATACATTCTCCTGCACTGTATTACCTCTTTCGTGGAAGCCGTTCGGGTTGAGCTCCAGCTGCCTGCAGGACCCTCCGTGGCCACGGCTGAGACACAGACGCAAGCCTGAACACAACACCTGAGCCTCCCTCCTCGGGAACCCATCCCGAGCGTGGCGCCTCCATCGACCCAGTTCCAGACCGCCGGCGTGGCTGTCTCGCCTCGGCTTCCACATCCGACGCCTGGCGCACCTATGCCGCGCTGCGGTGCAGCTTACAACTCCATGACGCCCTGGCCGGACCATCGCCTGGCGCTGCCGACTTACACGGGGTCATGCGACCCCGACGCCCGCACATTCGCATGAATCGGCGATTTTGAACATGGCCGTCGCTTGCATTCAACAATGGGAACACCCAGCGCCACTCTGTTGTCTCCTGCAGACGTGGCCGTTTCTCTCTTGTGGAGTATCGGCACGGTGGAAGGGAGAGCACGAGGCGAGATCCCGGTGTCAATGGAATCGGATGGGTTCCCAGTAGCAGGGTTCGGGGACACCGGGGAAGCTCCATGTCCCTCGAATACAACATGCAGCCGTAGTGGGAGGCCCGGCAATCGCCCCCGCTGCGTTAGCGGGGTGGCATTGCGGGGGAACTGAGGCCGGGTGGATGGACCCCTGAAGCGATAGGGTTTCCATCCAGCGATGGCTGTGGCCCCTGGGAGTCGAGGCCCTGAGCTGGGGCCCTCCGCGGTCAAGGCATCTTCAAGCAGCGATCTGAACGCCGATATCATGCCTAGTGGACTTCAGACAGTGCAATGTGGCACAAGTTTCACGTAGGCGCTGTATTGGAATCATCTTTGCTCCCAGTGGTGGAGGATTCAATATCCCGTCCTGGCGTCAGCAACCGCTCGTGGTGCAGCGGGGTGCCCCATCCCCCCGGCCCTTAACACGGATCTGTGTGACTGCTTGGCCCTTGGTGTTGCATCCAAATCTCTGGCACTGATGGTATCGCAAGTGGGCAACGGTGGAAATTGGTTAGACCCTGTCAGTGCAGCAGAGCTCATGCTTGGGGCATGTATGACTGCCGCCGTGCGTGATAGAGATGCAGGCCTGCTGGCAAGGATCCCGTCGCCATGCCCAACTGTGTAATATGTCGAAGCTGGCACTGACAAGGCCGCCGCTCGTGCCCATCATCTGTCCACAGCGGGGTTCAGCTTGTTGGGCATCCCCGCATGGGGGCAAGGCGAGCCCGGTCCGTGCCTCTACTGCGGCAGATCCAACTCGTCGTAGCAGCCCTCCGGGTCGCCCATCTGGTCCACAATCGACAGGAACTCGTACGACGAGATTCCAATGTTGCCCAGGTACTCGTTGCTCACGGCCTCTGGCGGAAGCTGTGGCCCCAGCGGGTGCCCGCCGTCCCCACCCGCCGCCGAAACTGCCGTCCGCTCGGAATGGGCAGGGTATCCGTCCCGGGAGCCGTCCTCGGTGACGACGTCGTTCTCGTTGCTATTATGGTCCAGCTCAGGCCCCATGTCTGAGCCGGCCGGGAGCGATGACAGCGTCAGGGTCTGCAGGCCGCGCCTCTCCGCGCGCTTGGACAGTTCGCCAAAGAGCGTCTCGAGGTGCGCCAGCTCCGACTTGCGCATCGCCGCAACGCGGTTGCCCTTGAAGACCATTTCGTCGAGGATGGCATGCGCTTCCTGGCTCGACGTCGGGCCGTCGTCGAGGTTGGGGAACAGCGCGTTGGCCATGGCTAGGTGCACGGCTGCCCCGTACGCAAATTCCAAGTCGAATGGGAGAAAGAGTTCTGTCGTGCGTGTCAGCGCCTTGTGATGGCACTCGAAGTGGGATGCATCTCAGACATACCCAAAAGGCCGTCATCTGTAGACAGAATCTGGAGCGTCATCACGGCCGACTTGATGCCCGTGGATATCAGCGGCTGCGTAGTCTCTATAAAGCTCCGCCAGTCCTCTTCGCCGCGATCTATCTTTTCCAAACGCTCCTTGAGGACGGACAGGAGAAGCGGCCGTGTAGCGACAATCACACACTGTAGAGCCGCAGTCAGTCATCATCAGCCACTCGAAGGTCATTAGGCACGACCTACTTGGTGGTATAGCAGCGTTATGTGGCGTGCTTCTTTCGAAATGGCGTCCACGGAGCTCTGGAAGTTAATGTACGTCGTCCTTTCCATCTCACGGGCGTGAGCCACCATGCTATGTAGGATGGACCTGGTTGCCTCGAGAAAGTCTCCAAGCTGCGTCTGCTCCGTCTTGTAGATGGCTGGCACAAATGGGGATCAGCAAAGGCTGTCGTCGCAGAGACCGAGAGTGAAACATACTTCTGATGATAAAGGACAGCAGCCGCGACAGCCTCACCTGGAGCCCTAGAAGAGAGTCCTGCTGCGATGAAGTCCCAGGGATGTTGACCAACGCCGTAATGTCGCTATCCTGCGTCGACATGGGGAGCCCCAGAGACGACGAGAAATGCCTGTCCATGACGTACAGCGTCCACCAGAGGTTGCGGCAGCGCATGACAATGTCGACGCCGAGCTCGTCCTCGGGCAGCTGCGTGTGCAGCCCCTCCAATTGCGCGATGCGTATCGCTTGACCGACCTGCAATGATTGTTAGCCTCGACAGAAAGACAGGCAATCCTGCGGGCACATACGTATACGTGCGCCGACTCCCTCTGGTCGATCGAGTACAAATACAAGCCGGCTAGGGCCAGCACCTCAATCGCCATGATGCTATCCTTCCACAGGGACGTAATCTCCGGCATCAACGACATGGCTCGCACAAAATACTTGGACCCCGGCGGGTCCCGCGCGTTGGACCGCGACAAGAAGGCCTTGCCAAAGGCCAGCACCAGGAGAAACTGGACGAACCACAGGCGCGACTCGGCCGCCTTTCTCACAGGGTTGTCGGAGTAAAACTCGCGCATGTGCTTGACAAAGGCCTCCTCGTCGAAGAAGCGATAGTTCTGGCCGAGGTGAAACTTGACCGTCTCGAAAAGGTAGAGGGCATGGTCGATGGACGGCAGCCCGCCAATATCCGGGGTAGCAGATGCTGTAGCAGGGCTCCATTGCAGCGGGTAGACGTCCTCGCCAAAGAAATCCGGCGCGCTGTATGCCAAGTTGAGCTTTTCCGTCATGAGGAGCGTCAGCCGCGCGGTGAAGGACCATGGTGATGAGGGAGCTAGCCAGACTGAGCACGTGTCAGCGACGCAACTGAATCTCACAATGGTGCGAGCGGCGGGCGGACAGGTTGAACGCACCCCAATTGGCCTTGTTCTTGTACGTGCTCTTGATTGTCGTCGAGGGCTTCGAGAACGGGCTTGTCCAGATGCTGCGGCCGTCATCTACGATGCGCAGCGGCGGCAGCTCCTCTGGCTGCGGGCTTGACGACGACCCTGCTGCTCGACGACAGGATCAGTGCCGGCTTTTACCTTCCCGGGTCATGGGATCTCACCATCACCCTCACTGGGGTATCCAAAAGCGACATCGTACGGACGCTTGGATCCAGACGGAGTTTGCTGATGCCCGGCCTGCTTCCGCAACTCAAGCAGGTACCTGTGCGAGCATGGTGTCAGTACCTAGCCCGTGACGGAGCTCATGGCGAAGGCATCGCGAACGCGCGACGAACCTCTCAGAGACGGTAATGCGGTTGCACCCCTCTTCGAAGCGACATCTCACGAGACGGCGCTGGCAGTTACCGCACGGCTCCGCGCCGGAGCACTTGATCTTGCTCTGGCGGCAGGCGAGGCATCTGTGCGCGACACGACGAGGGTCAGCAAGGGCGCAGGGTAGGCAGTTTGTTGAGAGGCAGGAAAAGAGAACGTACGCATTTGCAGTCCGCTTCGCCTTGCGGGGCTGGCCTTGGATAGCGTCGCTGCGATGAGACGGCATTAAAGTGATGCAGGCGGATCGACCATGTTTGCGGGCTGTGACGAGATGCGACGGATCTCAGTCCTCATGCATGGCATGCCAGGTCGGGGTCGGTGTGTCACTGTGTCGGTCCAGGTGAGGCAGCGGAGGAACCCCGCATTTTGTTAGTGGCTGCAGGGAGTAAATGGTGGTCGTCGCATCGGCATCGCGGCAGATCAACCGCCGAAGCCTCGCTAGCGGCAGATCGCACGACCACAGTGACAGTTACCTCAACAACAGCCAAGATATTCTACATCTCCGCTACCATGCTCTGAGGGAGCTTGGGTACCACCCAAACGACACGTTGCCACCAAGTCACCATATCCGAGACAATCTCAAAGTCTGCGTCTGCGATGCTCAAAAGGCGCCAGCGCAACGTGTTGCTGGATGAAACCACGTGCATGCGTGTCACTGTCTTGTCTTCCTTATTCTGATGATAACGTCCCATTTTTACCCTAGTTCACATCCATACAATTGTCTCTTGCGAGACGAAATGCCGTGTCATGCCATTCGTGAGTGAGCCTCCACGTCTTCATGCTTCCTTCATGTTCTTCCTCCCCTGCCTGCCCAGCCGCCCCTGCCAAGTGCCAACAATGTCCTGCATTATCACCAAGCCGGCCGCGGAGCCGCCTTCTCCCCCCCCTGCTTGAGACACCACAACAGACACACCAGAGTTACACACACACACACACACCTCCCGCTACCTTTACGCCTTCTGCGCGGCGGCCCTAAACTCAATCATGGGCCCCTTCTTGGCGCTGGTGAACGTGTCCACCAGCTGGAACTCCTCGACGCGGTGCCGCCCCCACTCCAGGTCCGGGCGGCCCTCGCCCGGGTCCACGACGCCGACGGCCTTGCGCAGGTCGTACATGTACAGCGTGCGGGCGAGCGTCGTCGTCATCTCGACGTACGCGAGGCCCTTGCCGATGCAGCCGCGCGGGCCGACGCTGAACGGGCAGAAGGCGCTCTGCGCGCGCGCCACCTCGTCCTCGGTCGTCGCCCGCCCCGTCACGGGGTTGGCCTCGCCCGCCATCCACCGCTCCGGCACGTAGCTGTACGGCGTCGGGTAGTAGTCGTCGTTGTGGTGGATGGTGTAGTGCGGCGTGCCGACCACGGTGCCCGGCGGCAGCGTCTGGCCCTCGATGGTGATGCCGCCCGGGAGCACCTCGCGCGGGAGGATGCCGCCCACCGAAGGCGACATGCGCATCGCCTCGTCGATGCACGCGCGCAGGTAGCTGCAGCTGCCGAGCGTCGGGCCGTGCACAATCTCCTCGACGTCGCTGAACTTGCCGCGGATCTCCTTGGTGGCCCGCTCGAGGGCGCGCGCGTTGCGGACGAGGTAGAAGAGGGTCGCGGCCATGGCCGTGGATGTGGTGTCGGAGCCGGCAATGATCCTGGCAAGAGACAAGTCGCCCCATCAGCTCGCTGCGCATATCACGATGGGAAGAAAGGCGCCAAGACTCACAAGAGGTTCGACTCGCCCCAGAGCTCCGGGGTGCTGAAGCCCTGGCCCGTCTCGGGGTCGCGGGCCTTGAGCAGGTAGTAGAAGAAGTCGCGGCGGTCCGTCTCCTCGCCCAGCTTGGTGCGCTCCGTCAGCTGGCCCTTGCTGTAGGCCATGTAGCGGGCGCGGCCGGCGGCCAGCTTGGGGAAGAGGAACTTGTCGATCTTGAGCCTGTCGACGACGGGCATGGTGCCGCACTGCGACGCCGCGGGTCAGCTCTCTTCTTCTGTCTCTTTTTCGTCTTGCGCCCCTGAATCCCAGCAGACGGCGACGGGGCGACTTACAATCAGGTGGCGGGTGGTGGCCGCCTCGACCAGCTCGAGGGCGAACCTGTTGTCGGGCTTCTCGAGCATGTGAAACGCCTTGCCGAAGCTCAGGTCGCCGAGAATGTCCATGGCCAGGTAGTTGCACCAGTGGCTCATGTCGCGGGGCTTGGTCCAGCCCTTGTTCTCCGCAACGGCGCCGCCGTCGACGATGCCGACCTGCTCGCAAAAGGTGCGCACGTTGCCGAGGATGTAGCGCTGCATCTCCTTCATGGCGCTGTCGGAAAAGGCGTGCGACAGAACGCGGCGCTTGCGGGCGTGGACCTCCTTGTCTCGCGTGTTGTGCGTGTTGGCGGCCGGGTGCACAAAGGCGTTGTAGAACTCGGCCTTGCGCACGTTGGAGCGGAAGCCGTAGATCTCCTTGAGGGCCTGGTTCGAGTTGAAGGAGAGCGAGTTGGGGCCGAAGCGCACAATCTTGCCGTAGCGCTGGTGCATGCGCCAGAACTCGAGGTGCCGGTCGCCCTTGTAGGCGTGGTAGAGCTGGTAGGCATCGGTGACCTTGGCCAGGAGCGGGCCGGGGTACTTGGCGAGCGGGTGGAAGAATATCCTGTAGACGACGATGCCAAGGGCCTGGCGGGGGGGAATTGTCAGCGTGTGATGATGCGAAGGGTGAATGTGTCTGCCTGCCCGCCCGCGCTTCGTCTGTCGCCATCACCACCACCACCACCGCCGCCACCACCACCAACAACCAACCACCACCGCGACACCTGAAATCGTCACGGCCACGGATCACGACGGGAGGAGGGAAAGCTCCAGGACAAGCACCAGACTTACGTAGACGACACCGCCACCCACCAGCAGCCCCAGGTACACCCACAGGTGCTGCAAATCGAGCTCCATCGTGACGGGGGACGCTCTCGTCTGCCTGTCAATGCGGATGGGATCAAGGGAGGGAGGGAGGAAGAAGAGCAAGGCGAGAAGGTATGGGAGAGAGAAGGAGGGAGGGGGAGCACAAGAGCACCAACCTGTCTCTTATACACATCTAGATGTGTATAAGAGACAGGATCAAGGGAGGGAGGGAGGAAGAAGAGCAAGGCGAGAAGGTATGGGAGAGAGAAGGAGGGAGGGGGAGCACAAGAGCACCAACAGCTCGAGGGAGCACAGGCACATTAAAAATACCAAAACGCCCTGCTCCTCCTCCCTCCTCCCACCTCCGTGCCGTTCGTAGTACATACGTACTAACTTGCCTGCACGCGCATCACACACCCGGAGCCCGAGTGCCGACCACCAGCACCGTGACGCCGCCCCTCCACACCTCGCTGCTGGACAACTGCAGTGCACGCAAAAAAGGTGTCAAACACACAGACACAAACTGCGCCCCCCCGGCCCCCAGCGCGGCCGTGTGTAATCACTGCCCTCCTCAGGCGAGACCTGCCAACGAGTGAGAGGACGCCGATTGGTGATACGTCGGCTGGACGCGGCACATGACGTCTATCGATTGAGAGGGCATGTTGGCCATGGAACCGTGGACGGTTAGGCTCGGAGGGTTCTTTTTTGGCGCCAGGCGTCGGCGTTCGAGTTTGTTTTTTCCCCCTTCTCTGTCGCTTCTCTTTAGCCCCCGGGATGGAGTCCGCTTTAGCGGGATATGGATGGATCACACGCGCCGCAGCGGGCTTTTAGGGCCATGAGGGCCTGCCAGCTGGGCTGCTCCTTTCCATGCGGGGGCTCCGGACCCCCCGGAGCGGGTGGGGCCCGCCCGCGGGCGTCGCCGCTGGAACACCTAACAAGCCTGGACACAGGGAACATCAGCCCTGGAGGAAAATCCGGAGTGGGAGCTGAAGATCTGGGGACGGGGGCCAGCCAGCCCACCAGACGGAAAACGAAGCCAAGGAGAACAGTGGAAAAGGTAATAACTTCCAACGTCAGCTCGTCAGCCGCCCGCCTGGGCAAGGAACATGCCGCCGCCGTGGCCGTCGCCCGCCCGATTCTGCAGTGAAACGGAGAGAGACCTGTGGCTGCCTTTTTCGGCTGTCGACGCCGCCGCCGCCGCCGCCGTGCCATGCGTTCGTGCTTCCGGGTTCCATGGAGGCCAGCGCACGTTTCATGTGCACGTCACGGGCCTGCAATGCCACCAACCCCCCTCTCTCCTCTACTATCTGCATCATGGCCTGGGGGCGGGTCAACAAGCCAGTCCACGGCGTTCCGTCGTCTACCAGCGTTGTCTATCTGTCTACATACCTACCCTCCATCATTCCTGTCTCTTTCCCCCCTGTCCGCCCTGTCCACTGCTACTGCTACGACCAACACCCGGGGTGGCGGCCGCCTCGTAAAGCTGACCGCCGGCCCTGGCCCGGGTCCATTCGAGGCACATCAGCCTGTGTCTGTCTTTCCTTTCCAGCCATCCGCGCAAACGCACGCGGACGCAGGCCCGCGTGGACACCAACAGCTGTGCACAATCCCGTTCTTAAGCCGCCGTTGGAATGTTTCCGCCTCCGTTCCGCTGAGGGGCCGGAGCGAATTTGTGGAGAAGGTCTCGGGGCATTACCCGTCGACTGCCGCTTTTCTTCAACTTGGCTTCCCCACACCTCGGCGCGCGGCCTTCTGCTGCCCCTCCACTCCATCTTCCTCCAGGGCCGCAAACTACCCCTGTCAGCCGCGCCGCCCGTACGAGAGAGCTGCACAGAGACGCGCGGGCGGGCGCGCTCACACACTGCCGTCGGTGTCGCCCCCGCTGTGTGTTCTTCTTCGCTGCGGTCTGACCTTGAGAAGCAGGGGGCCCGCTCGTCGGTCGTCGCGCCTTGTGCAACTCATCCGATGCACTGCATGCGGACTGGACCCCGTTGGGCCCCCCTCCATGCGTGTTGGTCACAGCCTGAATCCCCCGGCTGCCCGGAGAGGAAAGTCTTGACTCTTCGCTCGGGTGAGTAGGTTGGCCGTTGGCGACTCTTTATATATAGCACTCGCTTCTTGAGCGCATTTCGAAACACAGCCTTCGGTGAGCGTAATGTAGGATATTGTCTGGCGAATTAGGACCGGCAGCTAGCCGAGCATGCAACGGCCTGACATGTAGCAACCTGCAAGACCTTGAGCCTCGTGCCGGTTTGGCCCGTCGTTGGAGAGGACGGCATGGCGATATAGTTGGTCTAAAACTGGCATGTACCCTGTACAAGGCGTCTTATCTGCTGCCCACCTGTGATAGACCGACTTGTCTTGCAGCCTCATAGCAGTCCTTGCCAATCCAATGTAGCCTGCCATCAATTTCCCTGCCCGAGCTCCGTCTTATCCCCGATATTCGAGACAGCAAGTCACAAGATACCTGTGCCCGAAACAATTCCCTGGGTGGTACGGCGTCAGCCCGTTGCCTCGTTCCCGGCAGGGACTTCGGTTTGCAGATCATGATGCCCGGTCACATCGTCCTCAGGTCGAGAACTCCGCCAACACCCGCTGTTCTGACGGTTGGTTTGCTCGACCTTCCCTGCGGAATCCGCTCGACAAGCAACTCACTCGCCTATTTACAGCAACTCACTTTGGACATGCTTTTCTGGGAAGTCCGGCTATATGTACGGAGCATACATAATAGACGAGGCCGGCAATGAGCCAATGGACATGGCTGTCGGGTCCGAGGTCCGAACCCCCGGCGGCAACGCATCCTCCGTTGGCTGCCGTCTGGGACCCGCTCCAATGGCCGCCCGGACTCTCTGCGACGGATGTCAGACCAACGGCTCTTTACGGCAACACTACGGCAATGCGCCACATTCATGGCCAATCACTCTGCCTGCAGAAAAGGCTGCTCAGTTCAGAAGTTGAACCAGTTGTATTGACTGTCTGGCCCGGACTTCAACCCTTCCGCGGCGAGCTTGCGCTCTACCGCGGCATCCGCAGTCCCCACCGCTTAAGCAGCGATGGTGACCTCAACCTCGACACCGGCGTCGATGTTGACAATGATCTGCTTGACGACCTCCGTGGGGGCGTTGAGGCTGCAATGATTGTTAGCACCTTTCGGACCGAAAAACGACGACGACGGACTAGGGGCAACGCACTCGATGAGACGCTTGTGGATGCGCATCTCGTAGCAGTCCCAGGTCTTGGAACCCTCACCGCAAGGGGTCTTGCGGGTGGTGATCTTGAGGGTCTGGGTGGGCAGGCGGACGGGGCCCTTGACGCGCAGGTCCTTGCTCTTGGCGCGCTCGATGATCTCGGAGCAGACCTTCTCGAGGATGTTGACCTTGCGGGAGGACAGGGTGATACGGATCTTGTGGGCCTTCTATTGCGGGCGTCAGTTACTCGTCTTTGGCGATTTTGGGTGTCCCCTCGACATCCGATCAGGGTGACCGGCTTGGGGGGGG